GCTCTGCAAATGCAGGGACGGCACAGCGACACATTAGCTTATGCTAAATCACCATGAAAACAATCCTATTACAATCCTAAAAGGAAGCTTAGCTTGAGATGTTTTGCTTATGCCAAAATACGAAGGAAGGCGCTACATGCCTAGGCTTAACAGTTACAATAGAGATGCCCTGGGCCCGTTTTCTCGAACGCGAACCGTGGTTTAAAGTTAACTATTGTCCCTAGAAGGGGGAATTCCAGGTCACGTGACAGGCAGAGCAGGGGCGCCGAGGGAGGAGCAGTACCTAGAAGCAAAATGGCCGCGGCGTTGCTTAATGAGGGCCAATAGTTCTGCTTGGTTCTGCTGAAAATTAATTTCGATCTGGCTGTTATATTAATGACTCACCATCAACCTATTAGCATGTCAAGCAAAGCGATAGTTCAGAGGGACTACTAAACTAACCCACGGCAGCATTCCGCGAACGCATCACTCTTCAGCAGTCCGGGATCCAAGACATATGACGGTACATAAGCCTTGCAAGTGTTTTTATGGTGAGTAAAAAAAATGTTTTGCGAACGAGTGTTGATACATATTTATACTCGGACGTTTTATTTGTTACACTATGTACGCCAACTCGTGAGCAGCGATTACTTTGCGGAGAAAGGGGGTTATCCTCAATAAAGTCTTCGTTCCGGGTGAACAACTGAGACATTGTACTGTTTTTTTTTTTTGTTCACAGTGCGTCGACAGTATGCCGACAGAATTGAGGTTTCTACATATTCCCGGTGGCCAGCAATTCAACGGTGACGAGAAGCTTAGCTTCTCGTCACCGATGAATCGGTTGGGCAAACGGAAGAGAGGGCAAACAGTTGAGATCAGCAGGAATCATAGAAACGTGCGTCGCAAGGAACGAAAACGAGATTATAGCACCGGCGTTGCCAGACTGGAAGAAACACGGGAAAGTTATGCGTTGTTTATGGCGAAACATATTGAAGGAAATGTTTCTTACATTTTCGAATATTCGTCGACAAACTCTAGCATAGTAGCTGAAATTTCTTCGTACCATCGGAAGCAAATAAATTGGTCTTCAAGTACAACATTACTATATTTTGACTTAAAATACCATACTAGATCGATGACAACCAGCGGGAAAAGAGGATAAACAAAATGACTGACTTGTTTCACTGATAGAGGGCGCATCTTATTGCCCAATCAAAAATAATTATTGTTGTTCTATATCCAGCCGTTTATTACAGTAACTAGGTACTTTTCCCTTACTAGGCACCGTGGTTTACCAAAATGGGTTTACCATCGCTTCGAGAAAACCGGCCCTGGACATGCTTTACTAACAAGAATTTCAAAAAAGGCACCAAGGGACACTTTAGGTTATGATGAAATTAAATAAATCTAGAAGACACCTGGGCTAACAAGTTTTCTAACAATAAGGAATACCGTGAAATGTGTCAACGAAGAGGGCAATTAACCCTGCTCGTAAGATTCTGGCTCTAAATATTACTTTTTTATTTTTTTTATACAAGGTCTTTTTGTTTTAGAAACTAATTAAACATCCTGACAATAAATTTAATAACCATCCACCAAATAGCTATGTTGATATAAAATATTTTCGACAGATTGCAAGGCATAACAAAGTAAAGAAGTTCAATGTTCGAATGCATTTTTCTCAGTTCCACTTTGTGCTGCAAATTTTATACGAAAGAATCTTTTGGTTGAAGGTAAAAGTATTCTGATACCACAATAATGATGTTTCTGAATTAAATTTACTGGGGAATTGGGCTATCCACTTAATTTAGTTTTTAGTTAGAGTCCTCATTAAGGAGAAAACTATGTTTTCATAAATTGACATAGGACAGGTGTGCATCTCATATTTTGAGGTACAGTAAAACAGTCTAAGCTCGTTAAAGAGACCTTGATTTTTACCGAGGTTTCGGACTGTTGTAAAAGGAGTATGTTGTATGCAGATATGAAGTCGAGTCAATGGCATGTAGAGGAAGGAAAACCATTACCAACCGAACTTCACAAATCGGTGTTATATATGAAAATGTCTGTTGTAACCAGGCCTGTTTTAATGACCTTAGATCGTAACTCTTCCTGAAATATTGATATTTGAGATATAAAAACTAGATAGCCTGAAGTCGCACAGCCCAGACCTTATATTCAAGCAGTCAAAATGGTGCTTAATAGCCTCATTTGCATATCATAGATTTCTTATTGAAGAATGACACATCATCTTATGCAGGTATGTAAAATTGTCCTAGAGCGCTGCAAGTTTGCACAATTCACCTACCTCTGATGTTAAATCTCCCCTGCAAATTTTCTACCTTCTCAAGATCTGGGGGTTACAACAATCTTTGGAGCAGTCAGCCCTCTTGAATTACAGGTTTTTGTTTTTGTGCTGTGCACAAAAGGATAAATGGTGGAATAATAACACCAATTAGCAATTGTAAAAATGAAGTGGAGACATATAGACCACATAAATTATACAGAATTAAGGCATTAAATATTCTACCTCATCTTGCTTCAAAATCTCTACAAAGGAAGACAGTGCTACATTATTAAGGCCTAGCGTTTTCGGAAGCAGATTAGAAATTAGGTGTCAAACTAGCATAATTGTTGCTAACCGTGACTTGGCAAAATTTTAAAAATATTTTTCATGCCGTAACTTTTTAAAATGTGGCTTTCTGTGGCACATTTCTTAAAATGAAACTCGCAGTTTTCCATTTTTTGTAAATTATTCTGGCTCCTGAAGTTATATTATTGGATTGTAACAACGATCTGGTTAAGAGAAAGAGCTGTACGACTGCAAACGTCTAGGACAATCCCACTGCAAACGTTTAGGACAATTCCGTTTCATCGTAGAAACTTCGAATGTTGCCAGTACTTTTCATGCACAGTTTTAACTCGAAATGAGCAACTATACATTGTACGTAAACCGGTCATGTGGCAACACACCCGTCTTGATAGTAACAGCTGCCATCGCACTATTGTCGCTGGAACCATCCAACCCTGGAAGAGAAGATGGCAAGAGGCTACAGTTAATAAAAAGTTACGCACTGGAAATTATGGTGCCATTAAATGGGTACTCCAGCCATTCTTTGAGCTACCCCAACTAACTACCGTATATACTTGCATAATGAATGCACTCGCATGATGAACTTGCACCCCCCACAACGGGCTTCAACATTTCGACTTTTATTTCTCCTCGCGTAATGAGCGCACCTCCAATTTTCGGCTCCGCGAGTCTCGAACTGTGTCCAACAAGCCAATTTTCTTTTTGCCGCCAAGCGGCCAGGGCGAAGGCAAGGCAAGTCAAGTCAAGCCAAGCCAAGCCGCTCTCTAATGGCTGCGAGTGCATAGCTGCGGAAGTGGTCGACCGTGCAACTGAGCGGCGTGCACACCTAACGAAGCTGGGGTCAAGTAATTGCCCAGCCCTGGACATGCTTCGCCCATCGCAGCATTACTAACACGCCGTCATCTGTAGTCCGCTTTTGGACAGAAATCGTGAAAGTGGATAGGCCTAAGAACGGTCGCGTCGCTCCCCATGCTAAGTAAGCTTCGTACGGCCCTTTTCGTTCAGCAAAAGGCACACCGAAAGCGCCCTAAAAAGGCTCGCAATTTATAGAGCATGGTTACTGATATACAGGGTGTTTCACGAAAAGTGGACAAATTCAATATTGCGAAAACTGCGTCGCGACAAAAACAGGCTTGTGTCGTTTTGGTCCTGGGCCAGGGGCCCATTTAGGAAAATTAATAAAATCTGGAATAATTAAGTTGTTCATTATTTTTGCGTAATTAACTTTTTTAATATTGTGTTTAAGGGCATTGTTTCAATTATAAAATTTTTGAGCATCATCGAAAAACACAAAAATCAATAAATTGCAGAACGATACAAGGCACGTGCAGCATTTTACGGCTTTCTAAAAAACCGCACAACTTCAGCGGGTTTTTAGGTTTCGGTTTGCAATCGCAGCGCTTTTCGGCACCGACGGCACCACACCCCGTGGAGGAATAGTGCAACCAGCTGCCTCTGCTGCGTTACACGAGGACAGCGGAGCAGAAGTTTTTTGCACAATTTCTCGCCTGGATCGCCGTGCCACCTACGTCGGCGAGACGAAGGACTTGGACGAAGGACTCTGCCAACCCAAAAATGACGTGCGCAAGTTTGACCACGAGCGCAGCAAAGTAGCCGAGCGCCGCAACGCCGAAGACCACCGGATTTCCTTCGACGACACCGGCGTCGTCGACGCAGAGACCAACCCTTAGCATAGAATTTTCGTAGAATCCCGGTACTATCAAACGATGCCAGGAAACATAAATGGATGCCTCGGCGCTTGGCCAACAATCTCTGTCGACGGGCTTTGTCACGTCGTCGAAAGATAGAAAGTTACTGCTCCTCGACAGCCATCGGCAGGGCGGTAACCAGGGGGGGGGGGGTTAGGGGGTTCTGACTCCCCCCGAAATTTTTTTTCTGGGCACGGCCCTGGTCGGTGCACTGGCAGCCAGCCGATTTTAATCTCTACCTCTGCGCACGCGCAGTGGCACCGGTCGGCTACCGGGTACCAAACCGGGACCGGTTCTCCGGTTTGCTGTAACTCTCCATTATATGCCACCGATGCACATGATTCATAGGCGAAAATAAGACAATAGACACTTTCAAAATGGCCGCCGTTGTCCCCGAAAACCCCCCCCGAAATGTTTTTCAGGGTACGGCCCTGGCCATCGGCGTAGTCACCCCCGAAGAACCGAGTAGGCCTCGAAATGTGGGGTCTCTAATTTTAAGATTCATTCAATTGCTGCCTTTTAATCTTTTTTTTTAAGTACTTATTGAAAGATTTTATTCTGAATTTCGTAAGTTATACAAAGCTTTAAGCTGCAGGAACAATCGTAAGTTTACGTACCCGTCCCCATGGCAACTGCCTCGGTGCAAACTTCCGTCACGTCTTGCGGCTCTGCACACACAAGTGGTTCCAAATTTTAGAATGCTAGCTAGCCGTAAAACGCCATTAAGACAACAGACCAATCTTAATGGCCACCGTTGTGCCATCGTATAGTTGGGACGCTTCGGAAACCTGCGGCTCTGCAGAAAAAGATCACATTCAACGTATTGCTGGCGAATGAATGTCAAAATTGCCAGGTTAATAGAGTACAGACCTGCATTCAAGTGGAACGTGACCTCCGTCATGTCCGTGTAATCTGGCAATTCAGCGGGTAGAAGGAAAGAAAAAAAAAGAAAAAAATGAAAGCCGTTTACAATTCCCTGTAACGCCGGTTAGAGCGCAGCTCTTGAGGAGGAAGATGGAAGCGTACTGAGGGATAGGTTACTCCTTGAGGTCACGTGACCTCAAGGGGGTCACGTGACTTCAGGGGGTCACGTGACCTTAGGGGGGTCACGTGGCCTCAAGGGGGTCACGTGACCTTTGGGGGTCACGTGACCTTAGGGGGGTCACGTGGCCTCAAGGGGGTCGCGTGACTTCTGGGGGTCACGTGACCTGGGTGGGTCACGTGACCTCGGGGGGGGGGGGGGGGGGGGGGTCACATGGCCTCGCGGTTACGCCAAAAGCGATGCCGACGCCGCTCAAGCCGGAAACGGGCCCCTAAGAGCACGCTCTAATATGAGACAACATTTAGATGACATGATCTTACCGTAAAACACCGGAGGAGCGCCAACCCCACTTTCATAGAAAATTGGGTTAATCTAGATGTCGGCGCTTGTCCGGTCAAATCGGGTGCTTGACGTATGGAGTGGGATCAAAAAGGTCCGGGACTGATGTTGTAAAGGGACCTTCCTGCATCATTATGCCAAAAGGCGTCGCTATGTGAACATTTAGAACTGCGCTACGCAAGTTTGTTTGACCAGATGCTTGAGCACAATGACGATCTCTCCATAGACTGCCAACCAAAGTGAGAGCGAACATCAGTTTTATGTCCAACTCAACAAATCTAAAACAGAGATCTCTGAAATGATTTAGAAGGCTTATGTCAGAAAGCAAAGAGGTGTGCGAGGTGTTCTAAGTGGTACTCGTGCCACAAGAATGGCAGAACGTCGCCGAAGAGAAGTCAAACAAAGCCGTCCTACCGCTCTTCGTCTTCCAGTGATGTTCGGCCGTTCCCGAAGCGTGAGTGCCAGTTAGCAAAATTTGCTGCTTTTTGTCCCGAGCCTGCTGAATCATTTCAAAGGTCTCCGTTATACTTTTGCCGAGTTTGACGTAGAACTGATGTTCGCTCTCGCTCTGCTTTGCTGTCTATGGTGAAATCACCATTGTGACCGTGCACGTGGTCACAAAAACTTGTGTAGCGCAGCTCAACGTTCAGAGAGCGACGCCCTTTGGTATAACAAAACAGGAAGGTCACTTCCTTCGACTGCTGCACATGCATCTCTTTTTGACGCTAGAAAATCAGTTCCGTAACGTTTAACGCAAAAGCATTAAGTGTCCCATGGAGAGGAACCCAGCGCTGTCCGTAACACAGAAAAAATGGCAGAGAAATTCCCTCCGTGGAACGGCTCTTAAAATGGTTGCGACGCGGCCCGCGCGTTGGATAGTTACAAGGAAGGCCACTCCACAAAGAAGCCCTCTCCTGGCACAGCTCTCGCGTGCTGCCGCTCCCCAAAGCCCGGCCGGCCTCTGCAGAGGACAGCGAGAGTGCCCCGTCTTCCCTGTAGCCAGTCTTAACTGCCCTGTAATTTTTTTTTTATCACACCTCGTCTAAATTGCAGCATTCCCAAGTATGGCAGATGCTAACAATGGCGCTCTTGAACAAAGCGGGTAGCTTTTGCGGCATTTTATGGTAGGTACAAAAAGAAGGGTTATCAACAACCTACCTTTCGTAAAAGCAGACACTTGGCTGTCAGGTTTCCAATCTTCTCTGTAGCGTTCAGACTCTGCGAGAATAAAAGAAAGCGATGTTTTTTCTAATAAAAATAACATCTAGAAATGCTCATTGTCCTCAAAGCAGGCGTAAAATTCGACGACAGACCAGACTCCGTGGACGAAAGATGGCTGCCAGGCTTTTCGTCCTGTTCAACATAATCCGGTGGTTCTGCAAGTGGAGAGCAGTGGAGAGCAGTGGAGAGCAGTGAAAATGCTTCAACGTGTCATGCACTCCGCTTTTCCAACTTTGTCATTGAAGATGACAAATATGGAGCCAAAACGGGGAAGAGGGGTGTTTTAGGCTACACCGAAATGTATGGAAGAAAATTAAAAAAACTTGGGAAGTGACACGCTCGTATGTCACCTACGTTTAGAATTTTGTTTTGGAAGCAAAGGGGCAACACCCGCGGAAGCAAGCACCGCAGGTGTTGCCTCTTTGCAGTGCACCGGTGCTTGGAAAAAAGCTCACTCGACGGTGCCCCGAGAATAGAAAGTATGAATTACACGAAAACGCCGTTCGAAATAACCGCCTTATGAATGCATTAAAAACATAGCGGGACAACCAAAATTTCGAAATTTGTTTGAACGAGTATAAAATATCAAAGTTTGATTTATCGCGACCCTACCGTACGAGATGCAAACATGGGAAAAACCATGCGACACAAGCATTCGTCTAAATATTTATCATTTGAGCATAAAAAGAAACTGTCTTCTTTCTTTGAAACTCTGGAAGGAAGAACTGCAAGTACTACACTCCGTTTCTCGATAATTTGGCGAACTGTGGAGCCCCTGCGATTCAATAAGGGCGCCGGAGCAAGCCATGTGATAACACTCAATGGTCGTGGCCTCCCAAGGAGGTTATATCAAGACTTCTAAAAGTGGAGGTGGCACCCCATAGCCGACACCGAAAAAACCGACCGTCGCCATCTTACTGAGGGCAGAAAACGGATCGACGCGGCCTGCAGCAAACAACTGATGTGATCTTTGCCTTGAATTGTTGTGATGTGAGGCGTTTCATTGAAGCCAAGTCTTTGTGAAACAACTGCAGCCATTCCCATAGACGATGGTGGGCTCCTGCGTCACTTTTGGCTGCGTAAATCGCGTGAAAACGGCAGGAGTTACTTTTCGTTATATTCCTAATGAGCGTGTAGGTAAAGTAAACTAGATAACAGAAAGAATAAAACATAGGATAAAACACAGACGAGCACATTCTTCCGATTCGCAACAAAGTTTATTCCATGGACTGCAAACGCCCATTCCCCAGTGCAATTCTTAAGGAAGGGGGAAAAGGCAGAGGGGGAAAAAAGTCAGAAGAAGAAAGGATGGGTGGGAGAGGCGGAGCGGTACGTCGATCCGTTAGGGACAACCCCTCACAAAAGTTGTCTAGTCACCTCGGACAACTCCAGCCGCAGATAATCCACCTCTATCAGAGAGGGCTAGCGAGGGGGGGGGGGGGGGGGAAGACATAGACGCCGGAGTTTTTTTTATTGCAAATTATTCGATTACCACCCTCCCGAATCTCAGACGATGGCGCTTGAGCACTCATTTTTTTTTTAACCTAGGTACACATCCTTCGAATGTGCTGCGATGTGCCGCTATCGGGCGCACCGAATCCTCGCTGGAACCGACGACCTCTCGGAAGTGCCCCCTCAGGCAGTCATTTAGGCACCGGTCCATGTGCCTGATGTCCTCCTCCGCCAGAGAAAGGAGTGGAAAAGATTCCCTCTCTCCGGCAGGGAATAATCTGCATTTAATGTTTATGAATTGTTCCCGAAGTGCTCGCTATTCTAGCGGACGGAAATGTTGCTGCAGTGGACGTTCATCCGAAGTCAGTCGGTTTCGGATCAGACGACTCTTGGTTGGCAGACGACAGCCGGTTCCTCCGGGCCTCGCGCCTCGCATTCGGCGTGGTGACACAAATGCTCTCGCAACATCGGGTCACGTGCCTCGCTCCGACGCTCTTACTGGGTCGCGGGGCCTTAGCCTCCACAGTTTGCCAAGTCATCGTGAAACGGAGTATAATGTTGAGTGTTTTGAGAAGCCCTATTAAAACATTCAGCTCTCAAAACTTTAAGCTATTGTGACTTATAATTTGTGTGAATTCTCACCCTTCTAGAAACAGTGACTAGCAGTTTTACATCTCAGTGCAAATTAATATGCTCTCAAATTGGAATGTTGTCCAATTGTAAAAAAATTTGTGTTAGAAAAAAGGAGCCATGCAAATGCAGAAATCGAAGCCGCCGATGCACTGGATCGCTTCCTGTAGGACGAGCAACTTCTCAAAATTACTTTTTGTTCCTGTTCGCCAGATCAAAAAAACAGAGGCCTAGATGAGAGTGCAGCAGTCCTTCCTATATGGTTCGTGTCTGACTTGTGATGCCTGTTTGATCGTATGAACCTCAAATGTTGGCAGCCCTTTCCACGCCACGTTTTCACCCGACATGAACTGCTACATAGTGTGAAAACTGCCCACGCAGGAACGAACCTGTCTTGATAGCCTCAGCTGGAGTCGCACTCTCGTCAGTGGATCCACCCCAACCTGCAAACAGAGATAGCAATAGGCTTTAGGGACACAAAGTGTTCCGCTGTGATTTATGGCGCTATTAATGTCCAGCTCTGAGCACAAAAGTGCTCTGCTTCCAGTGTTGGGTAAAGTATGTCTAAAAAGAATTCTTTAAGTAAGGTCTAAGTAAATTGGAGGTTATGTACTTTGAGTATAGTTCACGGCCGCTCAAGCCACGACCAAGGATGTCATGAAGGAAGTTATTTTTTGCTTGTTTTTGTCATTTTAATTTGCCTATAACTTTTCAAATAAAGCGAAGTTCGAGACAAGAAAAGTTTAATTAAGTTACTACGTTCAGTGCGCTCAGGTTTGGTGTAAATTAAAAACTAGTCAAAAAGTCGTTGCAGAGATGGGCTCCAAAATTTGATTTCCATACCACTTTAAGTACAATGTACTTAAAGTACTTCCTAACACTGCCTGCCACCCCTATTATGAAATTCAGCTATTATTGTGTATCACACCTCAAGAATGTTTTTTATTAATCAAAAGGTTAAGTTTTTCAGATATTAATCAAAAGGTTAAGTTTCTCAGATGCAAGCAATGCACTTCATCTGAAGTCTTTCAAGAATAATAAACTGAACTGCCACCATTATTAATGTATCCCATTGACACTAATGTGCTTATGGATTTGCAGGGTTTTTTTTGTTTTTTTTTTCAGAACCTTAAAGCTCTGGATGAAGAATAACCAATAACGCCAACCTCGTAAACTACTGGCCACATGGGCCAGAGACATAAAAGTGAAAACTCACCCAGTCCATCATCTGGCAGTATGGTTTCGCTCTCTTGGACTTCAGAGTCATTCTGCACACCTGAGACAAAACATTTAAGACATAATAAATAATATATATATATATATATATATATATATATATATATATATATATATATATATAAGAAATAGTAAACTGGCCTGTCAGACGGCCCACAAAACAGTTATTTCGCAAGTTCTTGTCAGAAGCCTCCATGTCAAAATTTTGTAAATTAAAAAAAAAAAAAAAGCTTTAAATTAACCTGACCAAGAAATGGTCTGCTAATGGCAACAAGGAATAAAGATGCGATTACAACCTTTCTAAAAAAAATTAAAAGTTTACTTTGAAACGGTCTGCTAATGCATTGATTGTACATTATGCCAAAAAAGCAAAAATCACGAGCCATTCCACTCTATGAAGCTGGATGACCAGCGAAGCAGGCACCTTTGAGCAGAGAGTCTTTACACGTCCCGCACACTTGGAAGTTTTCGACGTCCCCGGCGTCCGGCAAGGAGTCCGACAACACTTGCAGCACACGAGTCCTCTCTGCAGGATCCCGCACATCGGCGATCTTGGTCAAGTCGTTCTCGAACCACAGCCGACCACACACCCTACAACTACACACATACTGTCTGTCCAGAAAGTCCCTTTTGAATTTAGCGGATGCTCCGTTAAAGCTGTCCAATTTGGCAGCATGGTACCTGCGTCTTTTTGACGCGTTCTCTGCCCCGCGACGTTCGTCGTCTTGTCTCATTTGCCGCAGGCGCTCGGCGTTTCGGGCACGATCTTCATCGGTGGTGTTTGCAGCCCGCCGCCGCCGCTGACATTCTCGTTGCTGTTCCCGCCGTCGCTCTTCGTAAGCGCGTTGCTCTTCGGCAGTCCGGATTATACGCGGCCTCCCCATAACGGCGAAAGAGAAGCGAAACTGAACCGACTGAACATGGAAAATGGAAACGGCAACTTGTCCAAGCTCCGGCAAAAAGCGAGTTGCGCGGCGCGAACACGGATGGCGCCACCATCAAGGTGTACAGCAGCGCCAGGAGGTTCCAACTGCGGTCAGAAATGCATGGAGAACGTGAGAAAATCGTTGTTTCTTCAGTGTTGTGGGAACGTACGGCATCGCAATCATTTTTGACATAATAATGGAACACTTTAGAATAATTTGCGCTAAGTTTTGTGCCCCGCAAGGACCTGACTTTTTTTTAAAAATTGCCTGAGCGGCATCATGCAGCAGACGACACGGCGACGTCACACCATTCACGTGACCCGCTCCGGCCAACCCGAAAAGCCCATCTCCGCTGCGAGCAAAAATCGTCTGCTTCAAACGCCATTGCCTTGGAAATTGCCTTCTCAAAATTTGCACACGTATCCGATATTGTTAAAACTTTGATAAAGTGTTTAGTGCTTTACTAACTTCACGACAGACTAGTTTTGAAAAGTGTGAACTCGCCGTTCATTTTTTAATCAGCCGTGTTGTGTTGATCTCCATGTATTCTCCCATAGGGCGGGCCGCCTCCTGGAACCCGTGGAACCCTGAGTACCACGTGACTCGCGCCGAGCCGCTCTGTCGGCCATGTTATCGGCAAAACACGGAGTTCAAAGGATTGCGCTACTCTGCTCCGTAGGAGCTATATAGTGCTCTAGGCCGAACTTTTGCCGATTTGAAGATTCGGCAAAGCCCAAAGCCTAATTTTTGCCGAACTTTTCTAAAGGATGAATGGATAGGAGGTAATGGTAACGGGCGGCAGCTTGCGCCACCTAACCTAACATTTTGTCATCCCTTTTTTTTTATTTGTTTAAATTAAATTTTTAAATTAAAATAATTTAATATAAAGATTCAGCAAAAATACATTGTTGCCAGAAATAAAAGTTTAAATATCGTTTTTTCATGCGAAAAAAGAAAATTGGTGTTCTTTATTGCACATTGACAGTTATTAGTAAATAAGGTAATATTCTACAAAATAATTGTATCGGTGTCATTCTTTGAGTGTTTACTGGCAATTTTAAAAGCGACTTTTTGCGTAAGTAGTGCGACAAGGAGATTGGGTAATAGCAGCCGCAGGGGCGATACGGGAGTTTCGGTTTTGGGACCTAATCAGCGCAAGTTGGCTCAAATAAAGGTGGTCAGCGCGAGTCACCGTTTCGTGCGCGAAGGCGAATGCAACGGCTGCTGAGCCTTCACCAGAAGAGATTACAATATTATTGTAAAGAAGCATTTTTCGATTTGAGACACTTCAGCTTTGCATTAAAGTGTGCGTCCCATATTAGCAACGTCTCATTTTTTAATTTTAAAATGCCGGTTTCTGATGTTAAGCGCGAAACACATGTACGACGAAACCGTCCGATCCGACGTCCGACCGCGCAATGCGACGGTCGGAGGCGAGGGTTTTCAACGCTCTCCGATGCTACGAAAACCCTCTCCCCCCAAGGTCATTCCGGCAGTCCGCACGTCGGATCGGAAGGTTTTCGTCGTACATGTGTTTCGCGCTTTAGGGCACAGATGGGCCCGCATTTGGGCCCGCGTCGCACCGGTGCGGTGCGGTTCGTGGTACACGGAAGGCTAGAGGGGAGCTCCCTTCTCTTCCTGCCAGACTTTTGTTTACTAAAGTGGAAAGTTTACTGCACTGGACGGGGGTGCGGTGTGCCCCAGACGAGTAGGAATGTCGGATGTGCAACATGGAGCATGATAGTTCTGTGTTTAATTTTATGCGGATAGATGAAAACCACGAAATAACGCTAATTGAAAAGCAATATTATTTTGTTTTGGCACAAACTACTTGTGGGCCGAAAACAGGCGAGCGGTGCTTTAAAGTACCTGTCGGTCAATGTTTCAAAAGCTCGTTGCATATCACTGGAAAGATCAAATGAAAATCATGTTTTCCGGAATGTACCGGATAATTTGTCACTTGCGCAGTGAACTGCGTCGTTTTTGAGCCAATATCTGGTCGACTTTCTGTTCTTCAGGCAGAAAATATTGAAAATATTTTCTGCCTCAATTTTCGCAAAGGGTGACAAACACAGTTACCATGTCACCTACTCCGCACCTTGCCGTAACCGCTGCTGGACGAACTACAGTGAAACCCGTTAAGAACGGACCCACGTACAGTGAATTATTGTCGATATCGAACTCACAGAAATTTGAATAAAAATTCACGTAAAAAGTATGTTTTATAATGAACAACATATTGGCTATACGAACTTTTTCCCCCGGGAAGGCTTCCAAAAACGTGCAAACAATCTAGGGGTGTCGCGAACCGGCCGAGGTTCGAGTTCGACCAGGTTCGACTTTTTCTAACTTTTTGTGGAAAATTCGGCGAACCTTGTATTGAGGTTCGACTCGTGTGCGCATGCGCGACAGGCTGGCCAGTTGGCTTCGGATTGGATGGTGATGGCTAAGAGATAAATTAAGGGCAGCGCTGATTGGTTATTTCATTTAATACAGTACAAAAAAATTAAGTTATTAACTTCTTCAGTGATTAGAATTAGTTTCTTATAATTGCAACTGTTTATATAATAAAATAACCCTTTTCGTAAAAAAAAAATTATCCAAACCTAGACATGCTTGTATCAAGGTCTAGCCACACTGTCCACAAGGTCGAACCGGTCGAATCTGGTGAAAAGTTCGAAGGTTGGTCGAATCTGGTGAAAAGTTCGAAGGTTTGTCGAACCGGTTCGACCCACTCGAACCCCAAAAGTTCGACCTAAAAATCTGGTTCGACAAAAGTTCGCGACACCCCTAAAACAATCGTCTTCTAGCCTGTCCCTTCCCCAAAAAAGAAGTAGGAAAGAAAGAACATTCCAAAAGCTCAAGTGGCGAACAAAATTGAGCGAAGAGAAGCGATTCAGAAGGGGAGAAAGCTGAACAATACACTGCACGCACACAGAAGGAAAAAAACAAAAAAAAAATTAGCGCGGGGTTACAAGGTAGAAGTGAAGAGATGAGAAAGAAACTGAAGCTCCCGCCTTACAACGAACTCATCGTGGAAGTTCGTTGTAAATGTTTTTGCTAGATCGAACTGATCATAGCGTTTCCTGCTGTTCTTTATAAACGGGTTTGACTGTACACTGTATGATGGTACAGAGGCTACAAGATGACGGTAGCCGCATGATCGTACAGCGTCCATTTGCAATCCGTGGTCCTGTCTTGTCCTCGCGCAAGCGCAGACGTTTGCCAAATCTTTGCCGAATCTTTTGCCAAACCTGAAGTTCGGCAGGTTCGGTCCATCACTACGAAAAACTAGAGAAAGAAAACAATAATGAATCAAACTTCATTTAGCTCTAGTTATAACTGTATATAATTTTACTAAACACAAATTACACATTCCTAAAGATATATCTTTTTTTTTTTAATTCATGTCCACATTGCACTTTTTAATTTTTGTCTTTTTTAGTTTTTTGCGCTTCTAAAACGAAACCGCTACATGTGCGCATGCGCGCCGCACCTCGATCATCGCACTTTCGGGCAAGTGAAAGGATTTTGGTCTTTGAACTACTTCATTTTGTGCGGTTACGCAAAGTAGTGCCCAAGCAGCGTCAGGGACAAGAAACACCCGCTTGTTCAGATCCCAACTGACGACGGTGAGTTTGAAAGTTTTCCTAAGCTGATCTTCCAGCCACAAATTGAACCATTTGAGGGTTATGTACTTTTTGGGGTAACTGAATATATCATTTAACTTTTGAAATTCACAAAATGCCACCGTGATATCATTGCGATGCACACATTTCGGTGAGCGTTTTTAGCACGTGGTTCTGTGGATGAAGACTGTCCTGCAAATATTTTATGATCTGTAGACTGTTGGTGAAATCTCACCTCCTCTACCTCTTGTCGATTTCGTGCACAACAGTGTAGGTCCCAGTTGAGTAAATTGTAGTCTATATACAAATATTCTTCTGCCAGTTATATAATATTTCAGAGTTCATATCTTACAATATCTTTGACAGCCCTGCGACTAGTTTACCATAGATTATTTCTTTCAGAAATAAATATAAAGCTGGATAGTAAAATAATTTTATTTTGAAAGACGCTTTTAAATTCGCGAAAGGTTTACGCATAGAAGGGCAGAATGCGGACAGCAGAGCTTGATCGAGAGATGTGCTATCCATCCTTCTAGGCTTCTACCAACAAACTCCTCTCAAAACAGTTAAAACTCACGTTAGTGATTTTTTTCTTGTTCGTTGCAAATAAAATAGCTTTGTGTTCCTCTTCCATCACTCTATTATTATTAGAAGGTAATAAATAATATGCCCCAATATCAAAGAAAACACAGTCATTATCAAAGATGAGCTCATTTAGCTATGCAGCCACTTTTTCATTTTCAAGCGATGTGCTGACAGATGTTGGCATCTGCTCCAGAAGCATTGGCAGTTGCTCTACACAAATATTTGGTCTGCTACAGAACCTGTTGCAAAAGGTCAAATGGCGCCTCCATCGAAGTAATGAATTCACAAAATGGAAATGGCTGTACAATGAGTGAACGTGAAAAAAGAGTTCCAATAAGCTTGACAATGTCACACTCAATCGCTGACCCACTTGCACACACAGACACACAATGTGGCACTCCGACGGGCACTGAATGCGTCCACGAAAAGCACCGTGCAGGGCGTTCCATCTTGCACGGGCACAAAGACTCGTTTGGTGCATCGACGTTAAAGTTTGTAGCCGCACCACAAACGACAACACCTCACTACTCCAAGCGACCCTAGAGTCCGTCGTACCGTAGTCCAGGCCGCCAATGAAGAGCTTGCCGGACTGCTCGAGCTCACTCTTGTCATCTTGTGGACCCACAGCTTCCTGCGAACAAACGTGTCTATGATCGTCATGGAAGTGGCAACAGACCAGTGGAGGAGCGACTAGATGAAGCGGGACGTTTCTCAGATCTTGTCCCAAGACCAGCACTCCTCCAATTTTTTTTTTTTTTTTTTCCTCACAGGCCAACTTTCTTAGATCTACCGTATTTACTTGCATAATGAACGCACCCCCCACAACAGCCATCAATATTTGTACTTTTTTTTTTTTTTTTTCGGCTTTCCGCTACCCTTATTACTAACTACTACTACTTGTACTTTTTTTTTTCTCGAATAATGAACACACTTCATTTTCAGCTCCACGAGTCGAACTGCGTCCAACTAAGCTAGCCGGCAAGCCACTAAGCCCGCCAATTTTCTTTTCCCGCCAAGCGGCCAGGCCAAGTCAAGCCAAGCCGCTCTCGTAATGACAGCAATTGCGTGGTTGCAGAAGTGATCAAACGTGAAACCGAGAGGCACGCACACCTAGAGAAGTTGGGGTTGAGGAATTTCCCGGTCCCGGACTTGCTTCGCCCATCGGATGCAACGATGTCAACAAACACGCCGCCGTCTGTGATCCGCTTTTGAACAGTGATATCATGAAACTGGTTAGGCCTAAGAATGGTCGCGTTGCTCTCTGTGCCGAGTAAGCTTCGTAGGGCGCTTTTTCTTCGGCAAAAGGCACGCCAAAAGCACCATAAAAAAGGTTCGCAATTTATAGAGCATGGTTACTGTGGCGCGCCCACGACCAGCTTGGGCACGCCTCCGTCAGTGGATATGTGTCACAGTACTCTGCCATGTCATATTGGCACTTAAAATGACATTTGCGCAAAGTGTGTAAATGCAAAGATTTTACCCCTCGTAATAAACGCACCCCCCAAGTATATGTCGATTTTTCGGGAAAGAAAGTGTTCATTATGAGAGTGAATACGGTGTCAGTTGACAAGCTCCACGAAGAGAGATATTCGAGAGTGGTTCTTCTGTTGCCTGCACGCAAGCATGGCCCAATCGAATTCCTAGTGCCACTGGCGGCACCGCTTCCACGGGTAACAAAGAAAGATAGTTTTCTAACGACACTCTTTTTCCGCTTTGTTTACTATGAAATCCATAATAGAATTACTTTTCACCGCACGCCATGTGCATCCAACGTTCTGCCGCTTCTAGATAGTGTAGCCAGCGCCACCGAGCAGGCACGCTACGAAAGCTTGTCAACAGATTTTGATCTAGTAACGTTGCTTGCCGGCTGCCCTGACCACCGCTGCTTCTTCGCCTTGAAATCTAGTAGAACAGACATCTCACGCCCTCACAGTATAGCGTACCGTACATATTTGCTCGAAAAAGGGTCCGCCATTACGCAACTAAGCCTTCGTAACCGTGCCCAATAAAGTGTGCATGCCCACTTTCCTGCAGAGCATGCAGAAAGTGAATCGTTGCGGTTTACAGATCAAGCTCTGACAGCAATTGCAGACAAAAAAAGTCGCTTTGCTAAGGTATGACACCTGGAACGCGTCTCCGAACTATGTGCCCAGCGTCCCATTCAGCCCGCGCGTCTAAAAGTGGTCTCGAAGTGACAACGAACGACGTCGCAAAAGCCGGAGTGTTGCATTCCCAACAATCGGGCCTAGAAATTTTGGGAAAAAAAGCGCAAGAGACCGCAAATGTCGCTGTTCTGGCGGCATTCCAACTCCCCGGCTGCCAAGGCTACTGTGGAACATCAAACTCGAGAGCTAGCAGCGGCAAAACAGGAGTCTCCCACGCCCCACTCCACCACTGCACCACCGCTAGGATCGCGGCAGGAGACAGCGTCACACTTCTACGACGTAGTCCGGCGAAAATCGAGGGACCACATTTGAGGACGCGTACAACAGTCGGAGTTGCGTTCCAAGCACCGTACCGTCCCCTCCAAAAGCTAACCAAGGGAGTTCCTCACCCGAACCAGCGGGCCGTGCCGGCACGACGACGACTTGTTCCGGTTCAGTGTGCCACGACGCCGCCAAACGCCGTGCCGCAACAGTACCACAACTTTGTCGTGAAAACTGTCAAAACAACTAAGTCGCAACAGCTCTCTGCTATGACCGCTTGAACTCTTGGAATTGGACTAGGTCTTCCTGGAACTGTACACCTTCGTCGACGGCAGAGGGTGCGTGAAAAGGTGGCTGCACCGGGAGAGTCGGATCCACGTGAACCCGATGTTGCTCGACGTCCCGTAAAGATTCTGCACCTGGACCTAGAAACGGCAAACAGATGGAGGCACCTTAACTACACAGTGTACAAACGCAGATGCAATAGACCCAACTTTCCATTACGGAGGTGGGACCGAATGTCAGTGGTCGCGTGGCAGATGAAGGCTAGACATCTAAGGGCTGATATGGTGCAAAATGAATGCCAAGGTTGGAAGTTCCTAGTTTCAGAAGCTGGTTCTACTGCCTTACAGTACCGTATTTGCACGAATATAACGTGATGGCAAGTCACTTTTTAAATGAGACAGCACTAACAATGCCACCAAACCGCAAGAGTGGTCGCGTCCGCCCGTAAGCAACTCGACACCGCGCCTGCTCATCGGTTGAAATTGAAGGGACAAGAACACATCTGGCGAGGCAAGCGGTGCTGCGCCTGTTGAAGCACATCATGAGAGGACAATTCACGTTGGCGTGAACCATCTGCACACATAGAGAGCTACGCACAGCTCGTTAGGAGGAGAAGTTGCGATGTGCTCTCCTGTCCCTCCGATTGCTTGTCTCTCAGTTCCACGACGCGGTGCAGGCCAATGTTTTGACAAGTGCGGGGAGCTCGGCTCTGGACGATCGATGGGCTTTCAGTTTGGTGGCCGTTTTAGGAGAGATGGCAAGAGGCTGCCATTAAGTAACACCGAGTGACACTTTATATAGTACCGTATTTACTCGAGTAACGGCCACACTGTTAATAAAAAAAAAAAACGAGCGTCTGCTTTTCCGCGGAGCACGCAGATTGCCAATCACCAGGATCAACAGCGTGATGCCAGAGATAAGGTCTCCACGCGAAGGTATTATCAGTGAAGATTGCATTTCTACAGATAATCGTGTTCTCGACCCAGTGAATTGCTGTTATTTATGCGCAACGCGATGATTGGCTGTACATATCCTGCGGGCAAGTAGACACAAAGGCATTGTTCATAAACAAAGTTTACTATTACTCGACTAAATATGGTATTTAAAAAGGGGAGAGATGGGTTTTAAAGTGGCAGAAAAGTTAGGATCAATCAGGTTTTCTGAAAATAGTTCTCTAGTTCCCAATGTCGGGTCACACCAAGCAACCAATCTGCGGAAAATTATCACTACACAACTGGTAAGTTTGAACCACTTCAACAATTCTAAATACCTTGCATAGTATTTCTCTATCCATGCCTAATACAGATTAGAGAACTCTTCTGCCACGATTATTAATGGAATGACCAGTGCCGACACTAATGTATTAATGTCCTTTTCCATAATTGTAAACTTTTAAGCTTTGCAAAAGGCAAGTGACAAAGTCTTCTAGTGTTAAGGGCACGCAATCTCTAGCGACCAACGACGCCAACCCATTAAACTGTCGGCCAAGCAGGCCGAAGACGTGAATTGTCTATCTCACCTGGACCAGCATTCAGCAGAACGGATAGACCCTGTTGGGCACCAGACTCACCCCCCATGTCTGAAACAAATCATGGAAGATGTAATCAACGAGGGACAAAACAATATTTGTGATGGGTCCAATGAAGATAATGAACCCGGTTTTTTTCTTCACATAAACTACGCATTTCAGAAAGCTGAAACATCACGAAAAGGTAACATTAGCGGTATTGATTGAATGGGGAAGTTTCAGAACATGACATTACCTGTCTCAAAAAATACGAGAAAAAAAACAAAATCTCTCTAAGCTGACATCCACCTAAGCCTAACAGTCATCAAACAAAGAAATGACACTGTGGGTGCCTGAAGCATTTGTTTCAGTGAAAAACACTTGCCAGCAAGAAAGACAACATTATCATCTTTGTTGCTGACAAGTTTGTTTTGCAAAAGGTAATCTACATGACTGAAATGGCCCCTAACCCCAAACAGCACGAGCATGAAACTTGCGCTTTGCACAGATCAATCAATCCATGTCTTATAGTGCCCAAGGATAGCTGTCAACCACAGTTTCTCACTCTCTCAACATTGTGCATTGTTAAAAAAAAAAAAAAGTCCTTTGCTTTTATTGACAGAACCAAGAAATGTATTTTTTTGTCAGAATGTTCCCATGTTGGCTGTCATCTCGCTTGTTGCCCCTTTAACCGAAAATCCCGCACCGACATCACTGAAAACGCTGCACAGAAGATATCCGAGAGACTTGCCGGAACGAGGAAGCCACGCCGGCGCAACGACCGGCTGTTGCGGCTGCACTGCCACGACGACCGCCTGTTCGGACTCCGCCGCCACGACAGACTGTACTGCCACGACCGGCAGAGTTGTCACCACGGGCTGCATCGCGATGCCGTGCTGTTCCACCTTGTGGAAGTAGATGATGTTGGCCTGCGGCTGCGCTTTGTCGGAAACGGTGGGGAAGACCCACTGCTGTGGCTGCGCCATGACAGCGTACGAGCCCATGGGATTCACGGGGACTAGATCTTGCTGGAACTCCTTCGGGGCTGCCGCACCCAGGCCTGGGAAGAGCAAAGGAAAGAGCAAACGGATGGATGGCACGCTGATCACGCTATGTACGAGGTGTGTCAGTGCACTATTGGGCGTAAAGAAATGAATACAGTCAAGCGCTTTTATAACATCCACCTCTACTACGAAAACGCCCATTTAACGAAGTAGAATAATGTCCCAGACAATCTCCTATGTGTTCAATGTGTTTCCCTGACTTACAACAAATTCATGTTTAACAAAATTTTCCTTTATTGAAGCAGTTTCACGGCCCCCCGAAGCGAAAATGACGGGTATTACATATTTTCTAGGTCTAAAGAAATCAATTACAGATAAATTTTCACCCTGAAATTGCGTGTCACGAGAAGGAAAATACTGCGGCGACGGCAACAGTTGAAATCGTTGCCATTGCGTCGCGCGTTCTCGGTTTTAGGTTTAATTAATTTGTTAGTGTACAACCTTGCGCCTAGATGGCGCTACGTGACTACTATGCTCCTGCGTACAGGCTTGCCCTGCAGCAACATAATCACGTAGCGCGATCTAGAGATCTAGAACTGGGAAAAACAAAAAATGAAGCCTAGCTACGCACCTGTCTCTGCGGGGAGTGCCTGATTGTCGACTTCCGTCGGCTCCTGAGGCTCTGCACATAAAGGCAGTTCCAACATTCAGAATGGCGCCTAGCTGCGAAAAGACACAGAGACAACAGACCAATCTTGACGGCCACAGCTGCGTTGCCAAGCTGTTGGGTCCCTTCAGAAACCTGTGGCTCTGTGAAGGACGAGGTCAAATTCAACCTGTCGCCAATGATCGAATGTCAAAATTGCCAGTTTAATTAAGCACAGACCTGGATTCGTGTGGAACGTAACCTTTGTCACGTCAATGTAATCTGGTGTTTCGCCTGGTGGGGAAAACAATACGACGAGACGTGACGTTCTGGCGACATGTTCCCAATTACAAAAAGAGATGTTATCGGAAACATATACCTTTCGTAAGAGCTGGCACTGGGTCCCTAGTTTTCCAAACCTCATCGTAACATTCTGGCTCTGCAAGTGAGGAAAAAAACAGAGATCATTCTTTAATAAAGGTGATGCTTTGTAAGGCCAAGAGTATTAAAAAACAAACAAGCCAAACATTAATTTTAGGACAGACCTGATGTAACAGATACAAGATGGCTGCTAGACTTTTCGTCCTGTTCAACATATTCTGGTGGCTCTGCAAATGCATGGACGGCACAGCGACACATTAGCTTATGCTGAATCACCATGAAAACAATACTATGAGGAGACCCTAAAAGGAGGCTTAGCTTAGGAAGCTACGAGACATTCCGCTTATGCCAAGACACGAAGGAAGGAGCTACATGCCTAGGCTTAACTGTCACGACAGATATGCCCTGGACGTGCTTTACCTACAGGAATTGCAGAAAAGGTAGCAAGGGACACTTTAGGCTATGCTGAAATTAGATACAGCTAGACGACACCTGTGCTAATAACTTTTCTAACATTAAGAAATACAGTGAAATGTGCCAACGAAGAGGGCAACTAGGCTCGTAACGTTCTGGCTTTAAATTTCAATCCCTTTTTTTAAAGATGTTTCCGATATGAAATTTACAGGGGAATCGGGCTATCTATTTTATTAAAAGTTATTCCTCATTGAGAAGAAACTGTTTTTAGAAATTGACATAGGACAGGCATGCACCTCATACATTCACGTACAGTAATACCTCTTACTGAAATATTTACATTTGAGTTAAACTAGACAGCCTGAAGTCGCACAACTTCCACATTATATTCAAGCGGTAAAAAAATGGTGCTTAATAGCTTCATTTGCATATCATAGATTTCTTATTGAAGAGTGATGCATCATCTTATGCAGGTATGTAAAATTGCCCTAGAGGGTGAAGGTTTGCACAATACATCACAATGCACAACACAATACCTCTGATGTTAAATCTCCCCTGCAAATTTTCTTCTAATTACTTGAGTGGTTCAGAAGTTAAATCGCAAGATAGTGTCCCTTCTCAAGATCTAGGGGTTACAACAATCTTTGGAGCAGTCAGCCCTCTTAAATTACAGGTTTTGTTTTTGTGCTGTGTATAAAAGGATAGTTGGTGCAATAATCACACAACTTAGCTATTGTAGAAATGAAGTGGAAATATATTGATCACATTTTTCTTAATTATATAGAACTGAAGCATTAATATACTGCCTTGTTTTGCTTCAAAAACTCTACAAAGGAAGACAGCTCTACATTATTAAAGCCTAGCGTTTTCAGAAGCAGAGTATAAATTAGGTATGAAACTAGCATAATTGTTGCTAACCCCGATTCGGCAAAATTAAAAAAAAATATTTTTCCTACCATAACTTTGTATGATGTGGCTTTCTGCAAGTAATTTCTAAAAGCAAGACTCACTTTTCCATCTCTTCGCAAGTTATTCTGGCTCCTGAAGTTATGTTATTGGAATAAATAAAAAAAGAGCTGTACGACTGCAAACGTCTCAGACCATCCCACTGCACATCATTTGTGGTCGTTCCGTTTCACCGTAGAAACCTCGAATGCTGGCAGTCCTTTTCAAGTTCCGTTTTAACCCGAAATGAGCAACTACACATTGTATGTAAACTGGTCATGTGGCAACCCACCCGTCTTGATAGTAACAGATGCCATTGCACTATTGCTGCTGGAACCGTCCAACCCTAGAAGAGAAGATGGCAAGAGGCTACAATTAATAAAAAGTTGCGCACTGGAAATTATGGAGCCACTAAAGGGGCACTCAGGCCATTCTTTAAACTACCCCAACTACATCTCCAAAATCGCACGCCTTTACCCTTTCCGGTATATTATTTGGTATCGCAAAATTCGGAATACTTATTGGGAAATCGGCAAGTGAAAATGTTGCCAATACCAACATTCAAATATACCCCCGCTTTTCAATGCCCGGACATCGGGGGAAGGCAGGCTTGCAGATCGAGCGAGCAGTCTAAAAATGAACTATGCCCAGCATTTGTTTCGTGCTGTCCATTGAGGTAGAGGGCCTTTGAGCGATAACCTGACAGCTGAAAGTGACCCCATTGGCCGCCGCCATGTCACACATTTTTTATCAGTACACGCGCGACCTTATAGCTTTACGTCTAGATCTGTTACTTACAAAGTAACACGCACAAATAATTGCTTATCGATCTTTAATAACAGTACCGACAAGATAAGTTACGTTTCAGTTGTTGCAAGTGCAAATTGTGCTCTTACGGCGAAAACGCGGGCAGCTTCGCAATGGCTCTGCTAGCTGCTGTCAGCCACTGTGCTGTATTTTGGGTTTTTATCGGAGCTACACACTGATCTCTGGGGCTAACAGTATTTAAAAATAGTTTATCATGTGTTTTAGAGAAATCGAAATACAAACCTCGGCTCAGTTTTGCATAAAAGCCCCGGGATTTAGTACAGCCATGTGTCTACCGTAGAATACCGCGCATCCGCCCCCCATTCCACACTAAGCACCCACTCCCAAATTTGTAAGATCTCAGAAAATGTGCACAGTACATAGATATGTAAAATTGATGACCGCCAAAAAAGTGGGGGATGGACACTTGCCCATCCCCCGCTTTCTCGCAATTATCTCTTAATTTTGAGTGGGGACTTGCTCGGTATTTTACGGTAGTGGTCAAAATTGTACATCACGATGAATGCCGGGGTCACTTTTGTCTGCTGAACGGGATACCAGTTTATCGCTTCAAGCCCCTCTACCTCGTTGGTGCTGCCACACGGGTGCAGTAACTAGCTTCCAAAGCATTCATTTGACACCATGAAACTGCTTGTAATCAGTTGGAAACAAGGTGTAAAACCACGAGAGTGAACCCCTGCCTTCCACTGACGTCACTTCTTCATTGTTGCCAGTAGACTTACAATTTGAAAAACACACACAAAATCAAAAATATAGAAAAAATATTTTGGTCCAATATTTGGGTTATTATTTTAGCAATGTTTGTTGGTGCGTTTGGCAAATTGGGGACAACGAAGAGAACACCGGAGTACCCCTTTAACACCACAGAAGAGCTTTGCCATCATTATTAATGAAACGATCACGTTGACAATCCTGATGCACTTCGACGAATGAAAGACTTTCAGTGTCCAAGGCACGGAGCTTCCTACAACCAGTAACGTTAACTGTCGTCCACACAAAATGTGCAAACTCACCTAGTCCAGTGTTCGCCGGAACATTTCCCCACTGCTGGGTGGCAAAGCCGTCCCGCACGTCTGAGACAAAACACGCGAGACACAGTCAATAAAGCAAAAAATATATACATATATATTAAAAAAAGTCAACAAGCAGCTGGTGACATCGGCATGCATCTGGCATGTCACGCAGCCCACAAAACAGTCATTGTGTGGGCTCCAAAGTAAACGTTTGAGAGAAATTTCTCTGGTTGAAAAAACACTAAAGGACGACAACCAACCATATCCTAAATATAGGGACCCTACGTTTTAAGGCCTGCTCGGCTCTTCTTCGGGGGCTACTATGACGATGGATGTCGAGGTGCCTAGGGCGAAGACTACACGCTCGTCTGAAATGGACAGAAGAAAGGAAGAGCAAACTGTCTGTGCCAATCTAAAAAAGAATGAGGACACGAGCACCTTTATCCACTAAGTTGCCCGTCTTCGAACCTGAGATTACCAATACCAGCAGCCGCATACGCAGCCTCGCCCAACCCCGCGCATCTGCATATCCATCGCTGAAAAAATGAGCGAAGCGCTACCACGCGTGCTAACCCAAGAAGGAATCAATAAGGCCCACGAGTCGACATCCACGCTCAGACGGCTCACGCCCCGTCCAAAAGATGATTCGCCGAAAAAAAAAACCAAAAAAACTCGAGGCACGGTTTATAAGATCCCTTGTGCAGTCTGCCCAGACACTTACGTCGGCGAGAAGAAAATCTTTGACGAAAGACACTGGAAACACAAAAAACGACGAGCAAGTTTGACCACGGGTGCGGTGCAGTCGGATGTAGAACAACACCGGATTCCCTTTGACGGCACTGGCGTCGCCAAGCAAAGACTAACCCCCGGCATAGACTTTTCATAGAATTCCAGCACGGTCAAATGACACCAGGAACAAATGGGTGCCTCGGCGCTCTGCCGACAGTCCATGTCGACAGGCTCCGCCACGTCACCGACGGATAGAGAAATGCTGCTCCTCGACGGCCGTCACCATAGTCAGCTCTGAAGAAGAAGCGAGTAGGCCTCGAAACGTGGGGCTCCTGGTTTTAGGATTTGATCGGTCGTTGCCCTTTATTTATATTGTGGGCTTTCTTTGGGAGTCTCCATGTCTGAACTTCGTAAGTTACAAAAAGCTTTACGCTGCAGGAACAATCGTACGATTACGTACCTGTCCCCACGGGAACCTCCTCGGTACAAACTTCCGTTGTGTCTTGCGGCTCTGCACACACAAGTGGTTCCAAAGTTTAGAATGGCACCTAGCCGTAAAACGCCACTAAGACAACATACCAATCTTAACAGCCACCGCCGCGCCATCGTGTCGTTGGGTCGCTTCGGAAACCTGCGGCTCTGCAGAAAAAGGTCACGTGCGACACATTGCCGGCGATTGAAAGTTGAAATTGCCAGGTTAATGGAGTACGCACCTGCATTCAAGTGGAACGTGACCTGCGTCATGTCCGTGTAATCTGGCAATTCAGCAGGTAGAAGGAAAGAAAAAAAATGATGTGAGAGACAGCATTTGGATGGCATGATCTTACCGCAAAAAACTGGAGAAGCACCACCCATCTTTCATTGAAAATTGGGTTAATCTAGACGTCAACGCTCGTCCGGTCTATTCGGGCGCTTGACGTACGAGATGCGATCAAAAAGGTCCAAGACTGATTTTGTAGCGTAAAAAGGGAGGGCAGCACAGCGATGCGCACGCAGCAGTCGAAAGCAGAAACCTTCCTGCGTCATTTTGCCGAAGGGTGTTGCTCTGTGAACATTTGGAACTGTGCCACGTGGGTTTGTTTGGCCTCATGCCACAAGCATTATGGCAATCTCTTCGTAGGGCAAACCAAAGCGAGAGCAAAGATCAAATTCACGTCAAACTCGACAGATCTAAAATAGAGACCTCCAAAATTATTTAGAAGACGTGTCAGAAGGCGACGAGGTGTGCAAGGTGTTTTGACTGGCCCTCAATCCACAAGAATGGCAGAACGCCGTCGAAGTTGAAGAGAGGTCAAACAAGGCCGTCCTATCGCTCTTCGTCCTCCAGCGATGTTCCGCTTTTCCCGAAGCGCGAGTGCCACTTAAAACACTTCGCAAAATTTGCGTTTTGCACCGAGCCTGCCGAATCATTTTAAGGGTCTCCGTTTTATTTTTGCCGAGTTTGACGTAGAACTGTTGTTCACTCTCGCTCTGGTTTGCAGCCTATGGTGAAAACACCATTGTGCCCATGCACGTGGTCACAAAAACTTGTGCAGTGCAGGTTCAAATGTTCACAGGCTGACGCCCCTTGGTATAACGAGACTCAAAGGTGCCTTTCTTCGACGTTACCGCGCGCATCACCGTGCTGCCTTTTTTACGCTACAAAATCAGACCCAGAACTTTTATGATCACACCCCGTCTAAATTGTAGCATTCCCAAGTTTGGGAAATGTTAACAGTGGGCTCTTGAAAAAAGCGGGTGCTTCCGCGGTATTCTACGGTAGGCACAAAAACAAGTGTTGTCGGCAACCTACCTTTCGTAAGAGCAGGCACTCGGCTGTTAGGCTTCCAGTCTTCCTCGTAGCGTTCCGACTCTGCGTGCATAAAAAGAAGCGATATTCTTTCTAATAAAAATGATGTCTTGAAACGCACAACTACCTAAAAACAGGCATAAATTCAATGACAGACCCGACTTCACGGATGCAAGGTGGGTGTCAGGCTCTTCGTCCTGTTCAACGTAATCTGGTGGTTCTGAAAGTGAAGCCATGGGACACTAAAGTTCTAGCTCACACTAAAATACTACGCTACGCTAAAAGGCTTTAACGTGCAGCATATTGCAGCATAACCTCAAAGATCTTTCGTTGAGAGGCACAAGAAAACTAATTTTAAAGCTAATTAAACTATCTTTCCATGTGCACCTCGTGGAAGCATGTGGAGCCTATTTGGGAGGTAATCTAGCAACGTTGGGGAACTTGCTACATAGTCATGACGTAGCAAGTTCCATCGGAGCAGCGCCGCTCTTTGGAATTCAACATTTTCCTTCATAGCTTTCCTCAACTCACAAACCGCGCATTGTACCAAACCCTCAATTGTGTACCCGGACACAGCCCTTTTCCCCCAAGAAGATTAGCCCGTCTCTCAAAATTTGGACAAAAGTTACTTTTCCCACCCTGTTCACCCCTGAGCTGACAGTGCTGTGGAAGCTATGTGCTCCTTGGGCCAGCTACACACTCGTTATCCCACGGGTACTTCGAACGGCTCGGTTGTAACGCGTCGACACTATTGACACCACCACAACGCTGCCAATGCCACCAATGGCAAAGCTCATAACCACGCCAGCCTTGCTACGTTACGAATGCGGGGAATCTTTTTCTGTTTTTGTTTGCGCCGGATATTCCATGACGCATCGCGCTCTCTGTTCGCTTCTCTTCGAACGCTTGCTTGAGTGCACCAATTGGAACCAAAAATATAGCCAGTCGTTCAAAATAAAAACGGGCGATTATCATTTACGGTTATTATCCGTCGTGCTCGACTTACTTCCGAACGAAATTTGAATATTTCAATTCTTGTTTCCATACCCCTTTAAGCTATTGTGACCCATGATTTGTGTGAATTGTCACCCTTCTAAAAACGGTGACTAGTGGTTTTTTGTCCCAGTGCAAATTAATATAGATATTCTCAAATTATAATGTCGTCCAATTGTAAGAATTTTCGTTAGAAAAATGGAGCCATGCAAGTGCAGAAATCAAAGCCGCCAATGCACTGGATCGCTTCCTCGTAGGATGAGTAACTCCTCAAAATTACTTATCGTTCCCCTTCCCCAGACCAATAAACAGATGCCTAGATGGGGGTGCAACAGTCCATCCTATTTGGTTTGAAACTGATTCATGCTGCCTGTTTGATCGTATGAACCTCAAATGTTAGCAGCCCTTTTCATGCCACGTTTTCACCCGACATGAGCTGCTACATAGTGTGAAAACTGCTCACGCAGCAACGAACCTGTCTTGATAGTGCTGGCTGGCGTCGCACTGTCATCACTGGATCCACCCCAGCCTGCAAAAAGAGATAGGAAGAGGCTTTGTGAACAGAGACCCGCTGGAAATTACGATGCTACTAAGGGCCAGTTCTGAGCACAAAAGTGCTCTGCTTCCAGTGTTGGGTAGAGCACATCTAAAAAGTAATTTTTAATTGAAGTACAAAGTAAATTGGAGCACGCTTTAAAGGGATACTTCAACGAAATTTGAATTTTACCCGCCGTGTACAGAAATAGGTCGACTATGATCCACAATACTCGAAAATGACAACCGCACGTCCGTATTTTGAGCAGATGGCTGTATTTTTCGTTCTAAACGGCCCACTCTGGCAAGCAGTCGGAGAACAGCCAGCGGAGGCCACGTCACATCCGGCGCAGTCATGACGTAGGACGTCTCAATCAACGATTGGAGGAAAGCTGCGGCGAGGCTGACGTGATTATGAATTTCGTCACTTGGTGGCGTTCACGAGTAAAGTTATGTTACAACCTATACGTTTGACCTGCCTGCGGTCTGAACGGCCTCACAAGTCACAACCCGGCAAACACGGCCACCCTGTGATCCCAGTGTCCGTGAACCCACTAATCCCGTGCCAAACACGGTAGTCGGTTCGTGCTTTGTGTCGCGATGGCGTGTCGCGGAAACGGAAAACTTAGCGACACCAGCGAGGACGAAGACATCGCTTCTGCGATGGTGAAAGATCGCCGATTCGGCTTACAGCCGTACATTTACGACCCATCTGCGTCGTCTTCATCTGAAGGCGACGGGGACGGGCCGGACACGCCACCACCAGCCCGTCGTGTGGGCTCCGCGAATTGGTAAGTTTTCTATTTCATTCGCGATCAAGAAATATTTCATTTTTATTTCGTACATATTTTCGCGATTGGCAGGCGCGGCATGTATTGAAACGGCGGGATGTTGCTATGATATCAGGATATGCCTCCATCTTCTTGGTGCCGATCAAGGCTATGCATGCGCACTCTACCTTTACGAATTAGCAGTTGCAAAACATAGATACGCTGTGGCGATTGCCGGCGTGCGGTCGCCTCAGCCCGACAGGCTCCAACGCGCGAGCGATAATAATGGCAGTTTTCGGCACCGAAAACTGCCATTGTCAAAGTTTTATGGATGAGGTAGATGTTGCAAACACCTTAGAAAACATCGAGTAAAGTTTCGTAGTGCCCTTGTATTTCCGGCATTCATTCATTGAGCAAAATTTGTCCCAACAGGTGCTCTTGCAACAGCTGCAGAGCGATGCTGACGGACTACGAGTCCCTGTGCTGCCGAGAGGTTGACCGTGCAAGAGAGCTCTGCCAGGACCAGGGGGTGTCCTGTATCACCAAGCACCCCTGGTTCGAGCTCTACTGCCTAAACAGGCCAGTGCTGGACCTGGCGTATGTCACAATGCAATACTTCTGCCCTTTGGATGCGGGGAACCGGACCCAAGAGGAGTATGTATATTCAACTGATCAGTGGTGTAGCCAGGAATTTTTTTTCGGGGTCGGGGCCAAGGTGGCCGGGATGTCCACGACTTGGGGTGCGGAGAGGGGGAGGGGGTTCAAAATGCATGTGTATATTATAGTGTCAGCTAAATATTTGGGGGGGGGGGGGGGGGGGGGCTGTAGACCCCCCCCCCCCTTGTTGATTACACCCCTGCAGCTTATTGCAGTCATTCTAGTTGTTACGGCTGGCTTCCACTCCAAATATTCGTGTTTACAGCTACAAACACAGCGTTGGTGTCATGCTTTTTTCAGGCATTATGAAAAATCCTGTCTCTAAAATCAAAATCTTGATATGTGGTCATTTCACCACACTAGTAATATTGATAAATGTCATTATTCTCCTAAGTACAAGAAATTTATACGGTGTGCAAATATTTGAATATGAATCGAACATGAAGCTCTCAAATAATTCTATTTGCAAATCTGATTTCTCATATTAGGTATTGCGAAAGATGTGGTTGGTGCAGCACAAGCGAAATACTTTTTCCTTCCCTCCATTCTAGCAGGCTGTTGTATTGAACTTCCAAATATGCAAAATACATTTTAATTTTACCGGTCCACCCTGGTGTAGTGCGACAGGGTAAAGATAAATTAAAAGCAAGCTTTTGTGCCACTAACGGATACCAATTTTAGGGGGCACTGGAGCGTTTAAAATGAAAACATAGTTGGAAAGCACAATGTGTTACAAGAAAAAAAAATGTGATAGGCAATTTTATTTCAGTGGCCACATTGTTATGGCCCAATCAGCATGACTGACCACCAATAATGTTCAGCAGCTGGTACTGCACAGGAACTTGTATTTGAGCTTGTTACATACACATGGTATTCTATTCGATGATCGGTTCTTAATTCGATTTAGCTACTACGATTAGGTACTCGCACACCTTTCAAGAAAAAAAAAAGAATAACAGCAGTGTGCTTATCTGGTAACTGCAACACTGTGCATGTAAATAAACAGAATCAGACATCATTTATCTGTTAACTACCACACTGTGCATGTAAATAAACAGGGTCAGACATCATTTATCTGTTAACTGCCACACTGTGCATGTAAATAAACAGGGTCAGACATCATTTCAGAATAATTAGAGAGAGTACCCATGCTTTCAGAATTCCACCAAAAAAAGTTTATTGCTCTTTCCTACAATGACAATCTCGTTACCGTGAAACCGCACAATTGTCTATAGACCACAACATAAATATCGATACTGCAATGAAAAGCCCGAAAAACTAAATGCCAACAAACAGTGAAGATACACTTGTTCAAGCAGTATTAAATATAATTAAAATCCTTCTGCATACAAAATGTTGTTAGAAGTTCCCCATGCTACAGGACAGTAATGATGTAAACTGCGAGATGTCATTGGAGATTGTTGACACTATACAAACGCATAGTAGAAAAGGTCAGAAGCAAATAGTGATTAGCTTTTCCCTCTTTGCTCAGAGTTCAACGCTGGTTTCTGCCATCTCATCTCATTACAGGAAGTACCGCTACACGGCATACCACCAGTTCACCTGGTGGGTGCACAAGAGGCTGGGGCGGGGAAACCGAGTGGTGCTGCCCAGCTGCGTCGTCTGTCAGATTCGGCAAGAATTCCCGTCCACAGATGGGACATACAGCGGGTTCAAAAAATAAAAAAAGTATTGGCCACCTGAAGGACTCGTTTACGGCATGTTTTGTCCAGCCCTTCAAAGACACCTTCATCAATAAAAGACAGCAAATGTCACCAAGCTCTAGGCTCGTAAGTTTAGCAATAGGTTGCAACCTATGAACCTAAGAATGGCTTGCGAGGTCGTTAATGACTAGTAGGTACGATAACGTGAACAGTTAAGTTTTCCTGATTATAATGCGTTTTTCATTCAACAGAGCGGAACTTCACCTGTGCTTTTTCAGACTGTTCAGGCAGTGAAGAGGGAGAAGCTAAGTTTTATCATCTACCATAATATCTCAAGAGAAGACCCATCCCCAAAAGATAGCCCACCCTGATTTTCAGCATAACTTCTTATTATCCTAATGGCTTTAGTTGAACTCAATTTTGCACGCTGAAAGTTAGTCCACCCTGTATTTTCGCCTAATATGCTCTCAGTTTTACGTGGGCTGTCTCTTGGTATATTATGGTAAGTCGCTCCTATTTACTGCATAAGTGGTTTTAGTGATAAACATTTGATTTGCAAAAGTAGAAGTTAAAAACTAGCGATAGCTTATTCGCATTAACCGCACTGCACCGTGCGCATGGTGCAACACCGGCAACCAAGTCGAAGGTGTAGACAAATACATGTATGGTAATTCCAAATTCTCGTATATCTTTGTAGCAAGAACTTGAGCCTCCAGCAAAATTGGCGCATATATCCTGCATATGAGCTTCCATTCAAAGCAAAGCTGCATTTGTCCACAGAAAAGGCAGACTAACATAAAACAAAGTGTCACAGTAGCACCTGAAACTCGAGAATTCCGAGGCAGTCATTGGGTTCAAACGGTTGATTGATCAAAATGAAGTTGCAAGTGTTGCTCGCTGGAAGGACAAAACAAAGAGGTGGGAAAAGGCGGTGGTTCTTTGCCAATGAATGTAAGAAAATTTACATTTGTTATTAAACAGCTGATACGTAGTCACCTTGGAAATCACTGTCTAAACCAGATTTGTAACACTTGTGGTGATCAAGTCTTCAAGCAAGGCACAAAAATGCAGCTGGCAACTGTAGTTCATATGCTTGAGTAAGGTCCAGTGTAAAAAATACCAACCCACTTTGCAAATTAGTTAGTTTTTGTATCATCGTCATAGGATACACCACGGCTTTCACCATCTGCAGGATTATGACTGCTCACCACCAGATGACCAAGCAGCAGATGAGGATGAAAATCGTAATGACCAAGCGGAGAGCAAACTCCGTCTCCAATGGTCTCATTCCCAATGAATGGGCCCGTTCCCAGGTGGCTTGGGAGACAAGCAAGGGTACTACTGAGAAGAATCGCAGAGGATATGGCGTGCACACCCGAGAGAAGAGCAAAGTAGAGCTGAGAAGGACAACTACCAGTCTGCAAATTCCGTAAAAATTCCAGTAGTCCAATTGGTCTCGGATGCCTCCTTTGAGAATGCCATGGTCTTCAAACTACCAGCCAAGCACTGTAAAGAGCCACCTCTAGAGGGCCTCCTTACAAGCAACAACACTTCCTGCGTTCCATTCTTGATCATATTCATGAGGCAAGTTGGGATTTTTTTTTTTAACCCAACCTCCTTCCTATACCATCTGCCCTGTCCTCGCTAATATCAGCAGCCTCCGATAACCCCCTTTCTTGTCTTTTGGCTCCTGAAACATTTTTACTCTACTACTGCATGTGGCGATCAACTTTTTCCTCATGCAAAGATTGAAACTTTGAGCCTTTAAACAAAATCTTCGGATGCAAGTCGGCCAAGAACTGGCTTCTGTCATGTATCGGCTGGTGGCCAAGAGATAGCGTTGCCAGGCAAATGCACTTACCAGCGCTCTTCAAAAGCACGGGCCTGGGGCACGGTACGTGTGC